GGGGGGGGGGGGATTCTAAGTTAGAGGAAGGCTTCTTTAAAGGACCAAAAATACCTTTTGAAAGATTCAGAACATTATCATATAACAAAGCGAAAACGGAACCAGAGAGTAGCAGCTTTCTCTGTGCCTTACTGCATGACGCTTTAGTGCTTCAGTTCTCTTCCTCTGGGAGACGGTCGCCAAAGCAAGTCCTCTGTTGAACAGATTTTTATGTCTAGAAAAAAAAGATTCATTTTGATTACCATCTCCAATGGGCAAAGAACTTAAACACTACAAAGTCATGCTGTAAGGCTAGGAGAATGCTGCTACACTCTGGCTCAGTTTCGGCTTTGTTTTCTCATGCAATAAGGTTGTACGTGATAAAAAATGCTTCCCCAGTAATAACAATGGCAACCTCTGTGCTATTCTTTGTAAATCCCATGTTCTGGTCCAGAGACCAACAGCTTGACTGGTAAATTAATAAATAATGAAATAAACAGCTTCACCAGTGAGTGGCTTAGTGCATTCGTTTTCCAATTTTTAATGGTTAACATTTTCAAATTAATTTTCAAACCTAATGTTCAAAGCTCTGTCACAGACTTAAAACTGCAAACAGAACTTTTCTTCGTCGTTTGAAAGAGAGCGCTTTTAAAATGGGGTGGCTCACATGCTTGAGACATCAAAGGGAAAGAAAAACTACACACATGCATGTGGGAATTGTCATTCACTGATGTCATGGTCTGTCATCATCAAGTGAAGCTGTTCCATTGATTTAACCTGTTTGCTTGATAAAGAGCATTAATTGCTGGCTCTACAATGTTTCTAAAGCAAGTGTAAGATGTTTCCCTGCTTTTGTTTGCTTCCAGATTTTCCCCCCAGTGAGCTTTGATAGTCACAGTGGAAAAAAAGACTTTTTGCTGAATTCCACTGCAGCATTTCAGTATTATAAGCTTTCAATTGCTCACATCTTTCAGAAGGTGTTCCATAGCATTCATTGTCAGCTGCAGAAATCATCTAGAGGATGAGCTCGAACTTAGGTGCACAAATGCATTTATTACCATTTTCATAGGTGGTTTCACCCATTCTTGCTTTATTTATTTATAGCATCTAGATTTTTGCACAAGGCCTTACAAGCCTCACTGTCTACCATTTGGCATAAAGTATGTAAGTATGCAAAATGGTCTTTTATTTTATTTGTGCTGGGGTTGCAGGATTATTCATAGATCTTCCTCTTTTGTTATGCAATTTTCTACGCCTATTGTTTAATTGAAGATAAAATGATCTCCAACCTTGCATCCACTAGAATCATAAATCACTCCTACTGCATATCCTATCCAGAGTGAATTTTTAGAGACCTCCTGAGAAGTCTGAGAACTCAAGCAGAGCAGGAAATGTTTATTCAGATAAGAGATCAAGCAAGGGAGGGAGACTAGCACATGATTTATGTGGGATTTTAATCTTTCTGATAGCAATTGGGATAACATCTGCATAACCGTTTTAAAAAGAGCTTATAGCACATTGTTCCCTGATCTCACATTTTGGCCCATTCCTCACAGCATAGTGTAGTTTTGGCTGTTTCTGTACCCTTAATAATAAATTAAACAACCAACAATTTGGCACCCTTTAATGGTAACCCAAGTGTGCCACTTTGGGCAGCCACATCTCATTGTAGGGCCAGCCCTGTAATGTTCTTTTTGTTTGTGGTCAATTGCGTAGGTTCAGATTTCCTATGTAAAATAGCAAGGGGAAACACATTATTCGTCTAATGGAAAACAAATATTACATTACTTTCTTTTTTTAAAAAATGACATTTCCCCAAGGAACTCAGGTGAGTACACATTATCTCCTATTGTCTCCTGCAGCATAGCTCAGATGGGGAGATAGTAGTCACTGGGCTGCTCCTATACCAGTGAATTTAGCCTAGTTCTCTCTTGTCCTGTCTACACCCTGACTTTCTATGGGCAGTAGGCCATACCAACATTGAGTGCAGGTGTCATGGGGATGGGACATGACATTTTGCTTCCTAAGGTGAAGGACAAGTTGGAGTCATCTCTGATTCCATTAACAGAAGCTAGTAGTTATCTTACTTCAACACTGGCAATGATCAAGGAACTTCTGTTGTACTAAGGGCAGCAGGCTTGCTTAGAAAGCTCAAGGCAAACCATATGGCACACATAGGTTAGTGCTCCAGGATCTGTCACTCCACCTAGT